GAAAAGCATGAAAAAACGTTATCATTGTTTGTTGTCCACAGAAGGGGGGACCGTCGCGCACTGTTTGTGTGTTCCGACCCGTTACAAGTTTTGTTGGGTAAATGGTGCGCTACATTTTCTAAGTATTAGACTCAGCGGGAAGAAGGAATGAAGTGGAGATTTAGTGTGTAAATAACAAGACACAGAAGGATATATAAATTTAACGCAAGTTTACCTATGATAGGTAAATTAAAGGTAGAAGGCAATTATTGATGCCCCCCTCCTGGGGGTCTCCGGTTGAAATTTATGGTTTACGCACCCTAACCTCACCACACCCCGAAAACGTGATAAAAATATTATATCTGATCAGATAAATAATGTTTTATTTTTACTGATTGTCTAATTGTGAAAAAAGTAGATTTGTAATGCTTTGTTACTAATACATATAAGAGAGAGCACATTCCGCATACATGTACATTAAAATAAATAGTGTTTAATTAATATATATTATCTATATAAATTTACAGCTTTCCTTCCCCTATAAAATCGTTCAATAAAAAGTATTTTGATTTTCGGAGGGACGGACATATTTAAATATACATAGATGATATTCTTTAATTGTGGTTGGAAATGGAATTTATTTCGCATGTGGGACAGGAATCATGCATTTTTATATTTTCACGTGTGCGAAGCTTATTACTTGTTTATTATTATTATTATTTTAATATTTTTGTTTTTATATTTTCATCAGTATGAATGAATATTTTTTATGAAAATCTAATTTTATTCAGTGGATAAATTGCAATACTTCCTAATTTGCGGACTCGGAGATATCTGAGCTTCCATAAACTATCGAAAATTTATTCTTCCAAACTTAGTTTTATTTTAATTATCTTTAATTATCTTTTGTTAAAACTTACTGCGAACTTCGTTGCAGGGGAATATCCATTCAAAGGTGAGATACTTCAAATAACTCCATGCAGATTTTTTTACTTTCTTCCATTCTTCTCTGTAGTGTTAACAATGCAAAGAGCGACAACTTTAATATTCAGACTGGTCCATTTTGAACATACAATCATTCTCGATTAGAAATGAAACATAGAAAGTACAATTTATCATGTTTATATCGTATGAATAATTTTACCCTAATCCAAAAGTGTAAAATAGCTTTGAAAAACATGACTTAAGTCAGGGTGGATCCAGGATTTTACAAAATTACTCAGTATGCATGTGTAATGAGTGCTGAAGGCAAACTCCCAAAGTGTTTTTCTTAAATTCTTATAAATAACTAAGAGACAAAATTTGCATTATAAGCATATCTTATAATAAAACAAAAAAAAAAAAAATCATCATTCAGTAGAACACATATTTAGATATGCCTGCAATGCCATTTTGTCTCCCGGGAACTTGTCTTCTGTAGAGACACTAAGTTCCGAGCGATCCAAGGTGTAAAATTACACATGCTCTGTTACAACGCACTTTGAAAAACGCATTTTGAAAAAAAAAAAAATCAAAGTGCGTTAAATTTGGGACCAAGTTAATGCACTTTGAAATAAAAATATTTCTTTTCAAAGTGTGTTAATATCGACCATATTAACGCACTTTGAAAAAAATGTGCACGGCTTGGTCAATATTCTTGCAAATTTTAGGTATAATAAATAATTATTTGAACCTGTTTGGGTAACTTTTCAGTTGATGACGTCATTTCAGGATCTGAGATATAGACATTTTAAAGATATTTAGGGTTTGTCTAGTTCCCAAAGGTTCTCGTAAATGTAATAAAAGGGAAATGGGTCTTTACTAATAATGGAGGAATGATTGTTTAGTAGCAAGATTTCGTTTCTTTTTTATTTCCAGTCTTTAAAGCATCCCATTTTTCTTAGGGAACAGGGAGCAATTACGATTTTTCCATTGAAAATAATTTTCCTGCAGAATATGATGGTCTCTTTATCGTTATTTGATAAGTATTTAGAGGATGAAACAATTGTTTATTCCCGCACAATATGAGGGTCTTTTTTTAAATACAGTTCTTTGATAAGTATTAGAGGCATGACATTTTTTTAGGCATTTTATACAAGTTGATTTTGTAAAGCTACTTTGGCCAAAGTATAGTCAGTTGCATGGCTATTGTTGCTTACATATGCGATATGGTCCCTGAATCTCTCTTCTTTAATAGAGTGCGTTATTAGGTCTTTCCACCTTTCTGTGGAAAGACCTATTGATATTCTTCTGTTTCTTATTTTTTATTATTTTTCCGCCGTGTGATTTTGAGTTTCAAGATATATCGAAAAGATTTATAGTCCATAAGAATGTACTCCGTAAAAGATTTTTGCAGTTGACCCTGCGTATATGACCTTTGACCCCTCAAAGAGTTATTACCCCTTTCGCAATATAAGCTTGTTATCGCTACTCCTTCGAATATAATATATATATATATAATATAATATATTAAAATATATGCAAAGGTCAAAGGTCAAAGTCATTCAAAATATGAGAAATTAAGCTCTTTTTCTATCTATTTTGTCTTTTAACATATACTAAATATCTTTGCATCCTTAATATGTCCTCTTAAAACTATTTCAAAGATTTCATACCTGTCCCCTAAGATTTACCCCTTTAAAAGTTATTGCCCCTTTTACTGAAAACCTTGTTATCGCTACTCCTCCGAAACCATAAACCGTAGAGACACAAAACCTTCACCAATGTCTTCAGGGTCTTTAGACACAACTTCAATCTATTCAGTGCGAAAGTATCCGATGACCCCTTATATGAGTTACCACCCTTTAACATCTTTGTGCTTACTATTAAACCTTATAACTTTAAAACTAAAAGTCGTAGAAGCATGGGGTCAAGTGCAATGTGACCCTTGACCTTTGACCTTGAATATTTTTTCAAGGTCAAAGGTCAAGGTCATTTCAAAATTTTTGAATTTTTCATTTTTTCTATCTTTTAAGCCATTTATGGATTCTTTTATTTAAAAATTAACTTTAGAGAGTAAAATATGAAAAATATATGAAATTTAAAGAAGGTGGAAAGACCTCTAATTGTTCGAGAACAATTAGTCTACTAGTTATTATTTTTTTTCTTCAGGAAAGCTTATCTCAATTTTTTTCATCTATTACGATAACTCAAATTTATTGAGAGAAAGTATACCAATGTCATACTTCGTTATGTAAAAATATATATTTGGGTAGGAAAGATAGAGTTGGGCTGTCAGAGGGACCTTCTACCTGTCTTCTCCTCGTTCTCGATGAGGGTAGATCAATTCTTCAGCTTTTCGAAAGAAATATAACAAAATAATGCTGTCTATTACTTAAATCTAAGTCCATAATTTTTGTTTTATATATATTTTTGCAAAGTGCGTTAAGTGTCTCCGTGGTAAAAAAAATGTTGATGTACACTCTTAACGCACTTTGAAAAAAAAATTCAAAGTGCGTTGATTTTGTCCAAAATTTAACGCACTTTGAAAAAGTTTTTCAAAGTGCGTTGATTTTGTCCCAATTTTAACGCACTTTGAAAATATTTTCAAAGTCCGTAATTTTTTCAAAGTGCGTTGCCACAATGCTCATCAGTGACTGACACTGGAAAATAAAAAAGGAAGTCCAAATATTCCACTGCTATACACAAGAGCAGATCGAGGATTTTTTTTCCCGTAAACATGGTAAAGTGGTGGGGTTCCATAAACCTAAAAAAAAAATCCATCAAAACATTTTTGGCTAGAAAATACATGTAACAAAAAGGCATAAACAAGAAAACCTATTCGTGGGAAGAAGGGGGGGGGGGTAGTCTACACAGTCTTGTTATCTCATGGACAAATCCTCCCCTCATGAATACGACGTGTTTCCCAAGGGGGGAGGGGGGGGGGGTCACCATATATTTCACGATCAAAATATTGCCGTATTTAAGCGCACACTTTGGGGGAAATTATGTATGTTTCTTGCATTCCATTTCATCACAGTGGCACCAGTTAGATTTTACATATACAATGTACATTGTATGTATAAAAGGAGATGGGTGAACATAGCGCACAGAAAGCCTATAGCTTCAGATATATAAAAATCATGTTCAATTTGTGAATTCAGTATTTAGAGTAAAGTTCACATTATTGAAATTTATGAAATTATGATAAAACTTTTCTGAAAAAAATTTCTCAGCAAGATTTATTCTTTTATTAAAAAATAATGTGGTATTCGTGGGGTTCGAACCCTAGCAATAAAAATCATGAGTATATCATTTTCTTTCGAGACTAGCACGCTATAACCACTAGACTACATAAATTGAAGTTTATTGTAAAATTTTGCAAAATTAATGATTCTGTTTAAAATTGGTAGCGTAAAAATAACTTTACACATTCCTTTTGAAAAGATTAAAACCACATTCAATATAATATAAATTAAAAAGTTATAAGCAGAGTTAAATTTTGGTCTTAGTCGTTAGTCCTTTTGTAAAACGCCCCTGATGAATAGAGGCATTTAAATCATGTTTGTGATATGACCCTTGACTTAATGGACTTCAAGTATTTCTCGAAAAGATGCGAATGATATATCATGAAAGTATATTTCTAAGGTAGTGGGTCTTTGCTCCATATTTCAGGAAACTAAAAAAATTATATTTTTATGCAAACTTCGAGGATTAACTTTCAAGAAAATGGAACGAAGACCCACTCATATCGAAAATTAGTGTTATAGTATGCGAAAATGACTCTTTTTGCCCTCTTTAGGGTGTGTACAATATGTCATAAGCAAATAATTTCAATCTTCGTGAGATTTTTGCAAATTGTAGAGGTTTTACATAAAGTATATTATAATGTTAGATGAAATATGAAGGAAAATTTTGATATAATTGAGATTTTATTTTTCACCTTCATACTATATAGACTTTTCGCTCGTCATGTTCATCCATCTTCTTTAATTGAATCAAATTCTCTTAAATCAAGTGTCAGTGTAGGTAACGTCTCTAATTCAGTTGGTTAGATATTAAGTAAATATATGTATGTTACAATGAAATAGTACTTGATACATATGGTATACATTACTAGAAAAACATAAAAACATTTTTCAATGCCTAAATAGATTTTGAAAAGGTTAAAAATGGTAGAAAGTAGCAAGCACAGAATAAGAACCCTGCACGTACATACATACAGTACTACTGTACTTAGTCCACGATAGAGCATGTGACTACTTAATTGATATATTTAATCTTCTTGACATTCCCACTAGAATGCTTAGCAACAAAGAGATTATCGCTTTTGTCCACAAACAAACATGTAGGGGCTTTTAAATTACAGTTATCTATATACTGGAGGAACTGTCCATGCTCTTCTAGGATGTGAATACAGTGGTTAGGCTTGTCTGATATCAGGATATGACACTGACTATCTGCTGTGATTCCCCATGGCATAAACGGTTCTTTCTCAGTAGTAGAGCTATGACCAGTGTATTTGAACCTGAGTTTACCAGTCTGATTGACCACCACTACAGCACTAGCTTTATAGTCAGCCACGCAGATATCCAGGTTTCTGTTTTCACTGATGTATTTAGTGTTGCTGTTTCCTGAATACAGAGGTTTACCCTCATTATCAAACTGGATTGTTTCTTTCTCTGTGGAGCCTGAGTAACGGACAACTTTGGATTGTGTTTTATCATCACTGTACATGGTAATCAGGAGATCACCAGAGGAGGTGACGCAGAGTTGTTTAGGTATCCAGTTTTGTAGTCTGATCACCTCCTCTATCTGTCCATTCCTTACTTTATTCACAGTCCTTGTTGTCCCGTCTGTGTACACTAGGTCCCCATCATCTGTCAATGTTATATCATATGGATAATCCCCTGATTTTGTTTTGACAGTCTTTTTAACCGAACCTTCAATGTTAAAGCATTTTAAACCACTGCTGTTGCCACATATCCAGATTTCTTCTTCACTTAGACAGGTAACCCCTCTGATATACTTAAACCCCGTATTAATAGACGCAATGAGCTCATGTACTTCCAATAGTTCTTTAGCTGTGGCCTTCATTTTCTTCAGCCTGTAGCCATCTTCTTCTCTCTTGATGGATATGGGTGCTAAAGATCCAAATAATTTGTCAAGGAGTTCTCTGTTTATATTTCCTGTAGTAAATGTTGGTAGTGATACTTGAACTTTGGGAGGAAGTTTGCTGAATTCTTTGATTTTGGAGGTGTATTCTAAAGCCAGAATCACTTTATTTGACTCTTCAATTTTCTTAAGAGTAGGCAGCGTTTGATCCATAAGAGACTGTACTTGCTTGATTTCGTCCAGGTGTTGTTTCAGAATGCTTTTGTGTTTGCCTTTCATCTCATTAATTTCATTTTTCATTTCCTCTGTGATTCTGTCAATTTCTTTGTGCCAGTCTTCTCCATGTTTCGTCACTAAATCTGCAAGATTCCCGTAATCACTATCTAAACTGGACATCTGAGTTTCTATGTCAATTGCTAATGATTCATATGTTGGTAAAAGATTATTTTCAATTTCTGTCGTTTCGTTTCTAATGGATTTTTTCATTGCATCATAGATTTCTGTAAGGAGTAAGAGATCATGCTTTTTGTGTTGAATGGTAGCTGCGCAAATTGTACAAACAGGAATGTTGCATTCCTTGCACTGTAACTCACAACTTTTGGTTGGATGAATTGTACACATTGGATAGATCAAGGTTGTTTTTCGTTGTTGGAAAGGAACCACTTTATGTTTGTCATAGTCGTCAGAAACGTGTTTACCTATACAAGTTATACATAAGTTAACATCGCAGAAATCACAATGCATCTGTACCACAGCAGTCTTACAAAGGTCACATCGGACAACATCCTGGGCTTTTTTCTGGGGATCCATTACTTTGGAAATTCTGCAAATTGACAGATTAGAAATTACCTTTTATTGATGGAACATAAGATATAAATTTCAATCCTCTGAGTCAGTAACCCTCGACCTTAACATGACAAATGTCATGATTTAGACAAATTTGAAGAATATTATACATTCAATGCTTTCATAACATGAAATACTAGTATGTAAAGATAACGGACAGTATTCGAGCTCAAATGTCCATTAAACATTACAAAATAGGAGCAGAGCAAACACGGACCTCTAAGACATAAGAGGTGGGATCAGGTGCCTTGGAGGAGTAAGCATCCCCTGCCGACCGGTCACACCCGCCGTATGCTCCTTGTCATGATCGGAAAATAACGGAAAAATCCGTCGACAATTCGGTGTATAAAAAATGGCCTAACAATTGGTGTGAAAAAAGTCAGCCAGCATTTGACTTGATGAAAGATTGTATTTGCTGACAAGGTCATTGTATCCGTAATCGACCATAGAACTTACGAAATGATGACTTTAAACGAGACTGCTGATATTCGTGTTTCATCAACTTGTTTGTCAATAACTTACCTCGTTTTAGAAATTGTTCGTTCGTAGAGCATGCTCTGGCGTATCGAATCAACTGAGAGATATAAACCCCGTATGCAGGTAGTAAGGGTATATTGCTGCATAAGTAAGGGAAGTTGACGATGGAAAGTAAAAGTCATCACCTTTATCATAAAGCTTTGTTGTTAGATTACCATTGACGTCTTTTTCTAATAAAATATCCAAATATGAAACAGATGTGTCAGACTCTGTGGTATCTTTTATCTTAAGCTCACCGAGATATATCGTGTCGACATAAGAATGGAAATAACCATTGTTAATTTACAATACGTCGTCGATATATCTAAATGTCGAGTGTAAGGGCACAGCAAATGTTTTCTTCTTTTCACGTGAAAGATTTTGAACAAATTCTGCTTCATATGAATACAAAAATAGGTCTGCTAATAACGGGGCGCAATTGGTACCCATGGAAATTCAAATAGATTGTTGGAAGACCTGGTCTCTAAAAACCACATAGATATTGTCAATCAGAAAATCAAGAAGATTTTAAAGATATTTCTTATGTATCGTGTATGATCAGGTTCTTGCAAAGGATATATAGGTTTTCCTTTTACTGTCTGAGTTAATGATTGAATTGATTATTAAGACACCTCTATCTGAGGGCAAATCACACAGTACTTAAATTGTCTCTTATCTAGAGATGGGGATTGGGTAAAGTAACCATGTTTCTCCCCTAGGTTCCGATTGATATATATGAACCAGGTGTCTCATTCTTCTTCAGATTTACTACACCCAAAACTTAACATCAATTCCTTAGGAATCTTGCCACTGGTGTTTATAACTTTAATTTTGCTCTTACCCTTAAGGTTTTTCCATTCCTTATAGGACCAAATTCTCTATACTTAAATGTCCATCACGTAATAATACTCTGATGTTAATTTAAAGCATTTTACAGTAATAAAAGGATTTACCTTTTGATTGTATGTTGTTTTTCGTCCCGTTCGAGAATTTTTTACACATACAGTAAAATCCGTATAGTACGAAGACGGATATAGGGAATTCACGGAAATAGAGAAGTTTTTTGGGGGTCCCCGACAAAATTCTTAACTTTTTTTAAAGTAATTTTTTACGGATATATGAACTCTGATATAGCGAATTTACGGATAATACAAACTGATGTTGAGTCCCATAGAGGTTAAAAATACTGAAATTTACATCTTTTTAACGAATTTTCAAGGATCTTAAAATTTGATATATATTGAACAGACTTTATTTTCGTTAAGCATTTGTATATGCATGGAATTCAGTTCATAATAAAACCTTAGTTATTCTAGGTATGTTTCGTAATAATTGTTTTCCTAACATATTCGTTAGTAATAATTAAAGAAAGACGTGTATATTGCAAATTCGCTAAATTTACTTAAATGAGTATGTATTAGGGATGTCAACGAATAGTCGACTATTCGACTATCAGTCGAATGGACCGACAATCGAATAACGAAACGACATTCGAATAAATAAATTCAATAAAAGAGTGTTAAAGAGATGGAATTCTCATCCTAAAATTGAGAAAACGTCTTTCCTCAGACACAGTTGATAAGATAATTTTCCTCATTAAAAACTGCCGACTTTACATGTAGAGATCTAGGGTACAGTAATTAGAAATGCTGCACTTCCGCGAGAATTATTTGTCAATGAATGTGTTGTTTTTGTAATAGATTTATCTTGCTATACTGCTCTTTATTTGTAAAATTATTAATTGGACTTGATCTCATACCATGTACCCATAATAGCCGTGACATGCTTGGACACTACTCTTAAAATTAATATTCTTTTACATTCTTTTACATATTTTTAAGACATTTTGATATTTGGTACAAAAGTATATTCTAATATTTAACATTATCACGACAGCGTGTGCCCCCCCCCCCCCCCAGGCCTCCTCCTTCCCCAAATCATTTTAATGAGTTTTAAAAAAATATATCGTATTGTCATTTTTTCTGACATAGGATTATGGTATGGGATTTTAATTTTAAAGACTTTAATATTATAAATAAATAAAACAACTCTCAATGGCCTTGCAATAAAAAGATATTAAAAAACAAAATATAATTGAAATGTAATTGAAAAGTAATGGTCATTACTGACAAATTTTTGAAAGTAATGCATTACATTACAATTACTTGTAATTGAAAGATGGATCCATTACACATTACACCCAATTACTTTGAAAAAATGTAATGATTACAATGCATTACCATAACACATTACCATTACCCCAGGTCGGAATGGAACCTGGAACCTCTGACTGGACAATGAAAGAAATTTTTGAATTTACTTGGATCTATAGAACAAATACAGTCTACTATATGTAGCAGTTTTCGACTTGATTTTCCACACAGCTTTCGTGGAAAAGAGTTTTTGGATTGAACGCAGAGGTCATCATGCACTGAGAGGATGCTCTACATTGGTAATTGCTCTTTAAAACTGCGTATCCCCTAACCTGACAAAAGATGTTATTTAATAGATATGAAAAGTTTTGTGCAAAATATTATCCAAGAAAAAAATGTTTGACAAAGTCAGATGTAACTGTATACACACACACTTAACACGTAATGTTTGACAAAGTCAGATTTAACCGTATACACACACACTTAACATGGACGAGAGAAAATGTTGTGTGATAAAATATTGGAAGAATGTTGTATTCAGATGATTTTACTTACCTTATATCTAATTTAATTTATTGCATTTTCAACAGTGAAATACTGTGATTTATTTATTGAATAAAAGTAATATTCTCTCAAAGTGGGAAAGGATACCAGATTGCTCTGTCATAGTGTGAAAGTGAAGATGTTAGAGACGACAAGGTCAGGTTTGACTTTATAGTTTAGAGATACTATTTACTTTTTAGAATGTTAAATGTTCTTTCGCAAGTGAGTTAAGGCTAAGTATAGACGTCTCTATGAAACTGAACTAATTAAAACGCATAAGGGCTATACTTATTATACAGAAAAGGTTAAAACTTATTTTCTATTGCAAACTTGGTACCCGCGACAATTCATAGCCAGTACACATTATGACGTCATATTATGACGTCCTTGCTCTCTACTACACAAAGTTATAAAGAACATCAACAAAAAAGCTTCGGCGCAAGGGCATACCCTATTTATTTTTACAGAAACAGGGTCTAATTAGAAGCAGAATATTTCAAGGATTTGTGATATTGCTGCACAAATGTCGACAGATCAATTGTTTAGTTACTATATGTAAAGTTTTGAGTTGAAACGGGGTAAAAATTCACAGTCCAGCGTAAGTTTCCTCAAATTTTTATCAAACGAGAAAGTGCGTAGGATTTGTGCAGCACTTTTATTAATCTTTAGAATATTCTTTGCTGTTTTATACATTATTTACTTAAAAATAAATAGGGTATGCCCTTGCGCCAAAGCCGTTTGTTGATGTGTTTTTTTACTTTGAGTACTAAAGAACAATCATTTATGACGTCATAATATGACGTCATAATGTGCATTAGCTATGACATGCCTTGGGAACTAAGTATGTACAAGAAAATAAATTTAAGCTTTCTCTGTATAATAAATATACCTCTTTTGCATTTTTATTAGTTCATTTGCAAAGAAACGCCTATACTTAACCTTAAATCACTTGCGAATTGTTTGATATTGCCTATTTGTGTATTATGAACAAACATTTTATGTAATACATTTTAAAAACAGTGATGCTTTGTCCCATTACAAAAATCCAGATAAGTAATGTTGAGTCCTTTTCTTTGCTAATCCTGGTAATACAAGTGTAACTAAAATCCATAAATACATTTATTGCAAAGGTGTTGAGTAATATATATGAAAACAAACAAACAAAAGAAATCTAATTTAGATAGGATATTTTTAATATTTTAAGTTAATACATGATCAGAATGTATCATGTTGCTCTTCAGACTAGATGGCAAATTTACAATTTTGGAGAATCAGAAGTTAAGATTTACATTTTGGTGCACTCTAAACCTCTACACATGATTATCTGATCAATACTTTTAAAAGTACTTCTATTGATCGTCTACAAAAATACGTGCATATTTTTTCTTACTGATAGATTTCAAATGTGTGTCTTGAAGGAATGAGTCACAACTTACATAATTGAGTCAATTTGCATATTGACCTTTGAACACATTCTTTTAAAGTAGAATAGAAATGCATGGACGGATCAAGTTTTTAGTTGGGGCAGGGTGGGGGCGGATCATGCAGTAACCTGGATGAGCAAACCCTATTCCTTCATATCAGAAGTTTAGAATCCAATTTCTGCACTTACATTGCCAAGCACTGTTTTTATGCTTAAATATAGTTTGGAAAATATTACAAATGGTAGGAACTACCAAAAGAAAAAGCTTTATCATATCTATCATATCTATATGGGTAAATACATTTCTATTTTTGTATTCATATGAAGCAGAATTTATTCAAAAACGTCTACATGAAAAGAAGAAATCTCTTGCTGTGCCCTTCAATTCAACATACAGATATATCGAAGAAGTTTTAGCAATTATTAAAATTCATTTTCATTCCTATGCTGATTAAATATATCCCTCTGAGTTCGAAATAAAGCATACCACAGATTCTGGCACATCTGTTTCATATTTGGATATATTTTACTAGTAAAAATCGTTAATGGTAACCTAACAACAAAACTTCTTGACAAATATGACTTAAATTTTCTATCGTTAATTTCCCTTATTTATGCAGCAATATACCATTATGAACTGCATATATGGAATTTATGCCTCCCAGTTGATTAGATACGCAAGAGCATGCTCTACGTACGAACAATTTCTAAAATGAGGCAAGCTATTGAGAATTAAATAAGTTGATGAAACAAGAATATCAACGGTTTCGTTTAAAGTCAACTTTCGCAAATTCTGTGGTTTATACAATGGCCTTGTCAGCAAATACAATCCATAATTAAGTCAAATGTTGACTGATGTTTTTCATACAAATTGTTAGGCCATTATTTTTACACTGAATCTCTACGGATTTTCCGTTTGCCAAATCATGACAATGAGCACACGGCGGTTGTGACCGGTTGACAACTCCCGCAGGGCACCTGATCCCGCCTCTGATGTTTATAGAAGTCCGTGTTTGCTTTGCTCCAAATTTATCTTGTTTCAATGGACTTTTGAGCTTGATTTCTGTTCGTTATCTTCATATTTCATTCAGTACACAGTCTGTAATTACTAGTATTTGATATATTTGATTTTCTTGACATTCCCTGTGTAATTTTCAGCAACAAAGAGATAATCACTTTTGTTCACACACAGACCATATGGGGTAGTCACATTATCTACATAACGGAGGAAATGCCCATCTTGGTCTAAGATGTGAATGCAGTGGTTCTCATAATCTGATGCCAAGATCTGATAGTGACTGTTTGTCGTGATACCTCTTGGCTTAAACGGGTCTATCTTGATAGTTGAGATGTGACCAGTGTATCTAAACATGAGTTTTCCAGCCTGATTGACCACCACTACAGCACCAGCTCCGTAGTCAGACACACATATATCCAGGTTTCTATTCTCACTGATATATTTAGTGAACTTGTTTCCTGAATAAAGAGGTTTTCCCTCATCATCAAACTGGATTGTTTCTTTCTCTGTGGAGCCAGAGTAACGGACAACTTTGGATTGTGTTTTATCATCACTGTACATGGTAACCAGGAGATCGCCAGAGGAGGTGACGCACATATTGTTAGGTATCCAGCCATGCAGTCTAATAACTTCCTTTATCTTTTTATTTTTCAGGATATTCACGGTTTTTGTTTTCCAGTCACTGTACAATAGATCTCCATCACTTGTTAACGTTATATCACTTGGAAATTCTCTTGATTTGGCTTTGACAGACGTTTCAAGTGAGCTTTGAGTGTTGAAGCATTGCATTAAACCACTGACCCCTGAACTTGTCCAGATTTCTTCTTCACTAAGACATGTAACACTGCAGAGGTTTTTGCATCCAGTATTTATAGAAGATATGAGCTTTGGCTCTTCCAGCAGTGCTTTAACTGTGGCTTCAGGGTTCAATAGTCTGTAACTGTCTGCTTCCCGTTTGGCGAGTAAAGGTGATAAAGATCCAAACAACTTATGAACCTGTTCACTGTCTATATATTGTGGACTGAATGTCGGTAGAGATATTTGAACTTTCGGAGATTTCTTAAATTCTTTGACTCTCGAGGTGTACTCCAAAGCCATGGACACATCATTCGATTCTTTAATTTTCTTCATGGTAAGCAGTGTTTCATCAATAAGAGATTGTATCATTCCTATTTCGTCCAGTTGTTGTTTCAGAATGCTCTGGTGTCTTCCTTTCATCTCATTGATTTCCACCACCATTTCCTTGGTGACTCTTTCAATAGCTCTGTGCCATTGTTTGCCCCGTTCTGTAACAAATTCTGTAAGTTTTTCATAATCACCATGTAACCTGGCCATCTGAGCTTCTATTTCAATAACTATTGTTCTATATGTTGAAGAAATATATTTTTCTAATTCTGTCTCATCGTTTTCAATGAATACTTTCTTTGCAGCAAAGATTTCTGAAAGGTGTACGAGATCATGCTCTTCGTGTTGTTTGGATTCCGAGCAAAATGAACAAACAGAAATGTTGCACTCCTTACATTGTAAATCACAGCTTTTGGTCGGATGCATTGTACACCTTGGATAGATCAAGGTTGATTTCTGTACTTTGAATGGAACCACTTTATGTTTTTCATAGCCATCAGAAACGTGTTTTCCTATACAAGCTATACATAAATTGACATGACAGAAATCACAGAGCATCTGTACTCCAGCTGTCTCACAAAGGTCACATCGGATAACAACCTGGGCACTACACTGGAGATCCATTGCTTTGAAAATTCTGCTAATTGAGAGAAAGTGAAATTATTTATTCTTTCTATAGAACAATAAGGTTTATTAGGACGTGTGGGATTACATTTGGATGATTATGAGTAAGAGCTAGGCCCATGGGCCACAATGTACACCTTAGTAAATTTCTCTTGCCGAAGAGTTTTATCTCCTGGTTCTGACCACAAAAATAAAGTCTATATATATTTAAAAGTGCTTGGACACGGATTTGAAGTGAATATTTTCTCAAATTTTCTGTATAATTTCATGACTTGTATATTGCTATAGCATTTCATACTAAAATAAAATACAAATCTTATTTCATCTCGAGGTTATTAAAACTTCGAATTTCTGGACGCGTTGGATTGACACATCCTTGCGCTTTCATATATTTTAATTTGATTCTTAATACATAAGAAAAGTGGCAATTTGGTTGTGTATTAATGAAAAATATTTAAACTATAACCCAGAAAATTCAGAGTAGAAATGTTCGAATGCAAAACCCACTCGCAGTATTGTAAGTCCGTGCTCAGTGGTGTGTGCAGAGTTTAACAATTGAACACACCCGGTGAATCGTAAACATTAACAATAACAGAGCTCGTGCCCTGTTTACAAAAACAGTTTACGTTTCACGGGTGTGTTCAATTTGTTAAACTCTATACACATTACAGAGAACGGACTGACAATACTGGTGAGCTGGTTTTGCTTTCGAACAATTTTACTCTGAGTTTTCTGGATTATAGATGTAATATTTTTCATTAATACATAACAAAATCGCTTCTTTTCTTAAATATTAAGGATTAAGTTAAAATTTGTGTAAGTGCAAAGATGTGTTAATCAAACGCGTCCCGGAATTCGTAGTTCCAATAATTTCCAGATAGAATAAGTTTTTAATTATATTTTCGTGTGAAATGCCATAGCAATATATAAGTCGTGATATTATACAGAAAATTTGAGAAAATATTAAGTTCAAATCTGTGTCTAAGCACCTTTAAATATATAAGATAACTGAACACTGAAAAAATCTCGAAATCAGTTGTAGCCATTCTATTTTAAAATGAAGCTATAATTCTGTATTTTGTCAAATTAGTGGGCGTTTTGTTTTGCACCATCCTGATGTTAGGGGCTTGAACTATTCGAGGATCATTTGAAAATTCATAGCTTGCTAGTATTGAAAACAATGAACTCCAAAAAACTCTTATTTTGAATTTTGACCCCTGATGTAACTCTACTTTAGCTCTTAATTGGTGGAATGATCTGAATAATTTAAAATAATCTACAATTATATAATTCTCTAATTTATGATGCTTCCAATTCAATTATTTTACAATGGTATCTTTATTTCTACATAAACCCCGTTGTGTAGCCCCATACCCAGAAAATACATGAATATGTAATATCAGTCGTATTAATATGTGTCACAAGTACACATAATTAGTAAATGAAAATTGACACAGTTGTCAGATATGCTCACAAATGGCGTTTCTGATTAATTCTCAAAATAAAAATGGATTTAAAAGATGCTATCTTGACAAGTGTTAAATAGGTGTTAAATGCAGGGGAATATTTAACGTTATTCTCAACTAGGACCTCAGGTCACCTGCTTATTCACAACCATCAAACCTGTTTACTCTGTTAAATCGCAGTTAACTATAAGGAAAAATGAAAATCTTCAGGTATAAGAAACAACTGCCTTTTCCTTTGATTCTGAGAATGTCTACATACCTTGCATTCAGCAGCTTTTTAGTCCATGATATTGATAATTCTGTCTATTCATTTTCTGTCTGAGGAATGATTACACTTGACTACGTAAATAAACAGGTTAAACTTGCGGTGTCGCATAATATTTGGTCTGCTAGTTTAAAGTTCCGGGGGACCAAAGTCAAACCGACTTTTAAAGCCGCTTAATTAAAGGTAAAAAATGTATAATTTAACTTTAAAATTAGAATTGGCTTATCTCATTTCTAAAAAGAAATTTTCATATGTGATTGTGTTAAAAAATGAATTATATACTTTTACTATTTCAATCTGCTCTCAATGTGCATAGCCTGGTTTTTCGTCAACAATGAGCCTTGAGCGCAACACCTCCAAATCAACTGTAAAATAGCCATCTTTCTTTTCTAATGCAATTGATGTTTTTCCCCTTCAGAATGTGTTTTATTAACTAGGACTTTCAAAGGTATGATTGATTGATTAATTGATTGTATGTTGATTTACGTCCAATTCGAGCATTTTTCACTCATAATTTATAGAGACCTCACTATATACCTGTGAAGGGTTCAAATTTAGACCTTTACTCGGCACTTGAGCTTGAGCAGTGAGGGTTCTTTATCGTGCCAACGCCTCAGTTTTTAAAGTCTCATCCGAAAGACCCACAATTTTCGCTTCAAAGTGCCGAGTGCTTGGCGAAAGAACAATTGCTCCCTAATTTTTTATCGACTTAGATCAGTCGCAGCCGTGATTCGAACACACGACCTTCCGATCATGGAGCGAGCGATCTACCGACTGACCGACTGAGCTACCGTGACGGTTTCAAAGGTGTGAAATCTAACTGGCAATGGAGGGCTTCCTGTTCCATGATGTATCAGAATGAACTAATGGTTAGGTGTATTTGTCTAATATCGGTAGAGATGACTTCTTTAAACAGAAGTCATGGCATGAATAAATTCATTGGTAATTTTCTTGCTGTGAAACTGTCATTCTTTGACTACACGTAATTATTTATTACAAGGAGTGTTTGGAACATTTTAACCTAAATGTACAGGTCTAGTTGTTGAATGACAACAATATAAATAAAGATTTAGTATATGGAACATTCATAGAAAATATGAAATTTGCTGCAATCTTTTTTCTTTCAGTAACCTTTGTTTTTCTCCTTGTACTCTTTACACATTCTTTTGTATTCAGTTATAATCTAACGAAAACCATATGTTTCTAGAGAGGACTTAAATAGGCATCTGCTTCATTAAAATAATTATTAAAAAATATACGTCAGAAACAAAAATAATTATATTTGTAGATTTAAAAAAATATCTTCGTAACTCCATTCTTCTTCATCTTGTTCTAAACAAAAAATCCATTTCATTGTATGCTGCCCAAAAGAAAGAGACTACTTTTCGTACGAATATTATAGCTAGATCATATTGTAATCCTGCGATGGTGCCCATCTAATTAAAATGAATTCCTTTATCCAACTCATTGCTACACAAGCTTTGTTTACTTTCAACATTCAAATGAAATTAATATCCAAATTTTATGCAAACAACTCTAAACTTGTTGAGTGCTCAAAACATCGAAATTTATTTTTGCATGCGATCAGGGTATCTTTGCTCTCTCTCCCGTCTCCCTCTGCTTGATAAAGCCTGTAAAACACAACACTAATTCAAAAATAAAGGAGACATTCGAACGTGGAATATGTATGGTGACAAAGATCATTGTTGAACATATTTATCAAAGCAAAGAGTTTTACCTTATAATACTATCTGTAAACATTATGATTTAAGAGACGGAAATGTGAACATAAAACAGAAATATCTGTATATTACATGTATTCAGAACATCAAACAAAAGTATGTGGGTGTATATTTCATGTGTTCAGAACTTCAAACAAAAATATCTGTATATTCCATGTATCCAGCTTAATCAAAAGAAAAAAAAGTACGTACATACGAAACATTATGAATTTTTTAATCAAGTCTTCATGAAGACAACATGCTTGCTTAGTTACAATGTTCAATAATTTCTTCGATAGGTTAATAAATACATGTTCACATATATTAATTTCCTACGAAAAACACACAAGCATAATTAATGATTTGTAGCAATAGAATAAGTTTATTTGTATGCATACAGTTTACAAACGTAAAGGATTTACTTGGCAAATCCTGAGGGAAAACAGCAAAAATAAATCATCACCTTGCACACACGAGGTCACTGTAGGTTACAGTTATCTACATAGCGTAGCAATCACGGTCTTGTCTAGGAATTGGAAATTGTTGTTACATAATTATAATGAACAAAAACTTTTTTGGTTCCTGGGGACTGAAAACAAGGAAATTCTTAATTTTGTGGGCAAAATTTTAAAGATAACATGTTATGGTAGTCATATTTCTTTTATATAATGTATTTTTTAAAACCTGAAATAGCATTAAAATAAGATTATTGTTAAAAATAAGCAATGTCATGGACTAATAATTATACTGTATTTCCTTATTCTTGAAAATAATCATTTCATTTTTGACTATTTTGGCCTCTAAATAAGAAATAAATATTTTGTTCTGTTCTGTATTGTGGTCTGATGTCAGGATTTGACAATAAGAACAATTTTCGAATGACATTAATCTTTATGAAACATTTGTTTGGACTCGCAAAAATTAAGTCATTATGATATTAATCAACTTCATCGTGGCTATTTTCACCGATTGTAGCCACTTGACCATGCCGTAAGGTAAAAAACGATCCAGGCTGTAAGTTTTTCTCTCTTAAGGTTGTTGCTACTCTTTTGACACATTCATCGTATGGCTGAAATATAATTCGAACAATCATAAATGAAGAAAAAGAAAAGAATATTAAATTATACTTAAAATACTAGACATATATCAATGGAAATTATGTAACGATTTTAAAGGAATTCGATCATTCCTTAAGCACAATCATCTTGGTTCATACATTTGAAAAATTATTTTACCATTATACCTTTTTCTGTTAAAAAATGATTTCAAATATATCCGAGGGTCAATTATATGCCATTGTATTTTTTTCAAACATACATTTGTTCACTAGTTTACTACCGATTTTTCTCTGTATAAATTATCTTAGTGAAAATATTCATAATTGGGGGTTAGATTACTTAAATTCAATCGTTAGCTTGTACTTTTCAATAGACTTTTAGAAATAATTTCCTTATATTTCTGAACTTCTACATAGAACATACGTATAATATTTACATGTACCTCTAGAGCCATTCTAAATGTTCCCCAGTGTATTCCTAGCGAGAACTTAGCCTGGACATCTTTGTGGATTTGTACTGCTTCCTCCGGATTTACATGGTGATATTTTAAGAAATCTCTGTAAGTATTTATCCATTAGAATGAAATAATGCAATACATCTTGACGCTTGTCAAGCAAAACTTGTACAAAGAATAGTATATGTATCCATGGATATGAGAAAAATAGCCAATTAATGGTTTCCTAAGGGAAATTTTTCCTCAGGCGGGAACAAAATGATAAAAAAAAACCCAAAAGGACATTCATATAACCTTCTAGGTAATGTTTTACCTTGGAGCATATGCGCCTATGGGGATAGCAGCCAATGTCATTGGTCCATATTTTTTCCCTATCGTTTTGAAATCTTTGGAATATCCGGTGTCCCCAGAGAAGAAAAACGTTGATTTCGGTCCTTTTACCACCCAACTTCCCCAGAGACTCTGTATATAAAAAAGAAACTGATTTCCATTTTACCGGAATATTGCAAATACAAACAAGTTTACTATATACTCTATCTTTACATTATAAAGGCCTACTTAAATACTTTTCTTGAAAAATGTGCAAGAAAACACCATGCATGGCATTTTGATGCACATTGCCAAAAACAAACATATTTACCTTGTTCCTGTCAAATAATGTTCGTCCTGAAAAGTGTTGTGTTGGTGTGCAAGCAATTAAGAATTCTTCTTTGCTTTTAAATTTTACTTCCTCCCACCATGAGAGCTCTGTAACTTTTTGACATCCGGCACTCTCCATCCAGGGTTTTAAGCCAACTGGGACAAACCAGTGTAAAGAGTCACCAAACTGTTTATTCAGCTTTTGGACAGAGCTATAGTCCAAGTGGTCATAGTGTGAATGACTAATCAAAACGACGTCAACTTTTGGGAGCTCCTCTATTTTACATGGAGGAGGGCGATATCGCTTGTTTCCTCCAATCCAAGAAAATGGGGAACAACGTTGGCTAAATATAGGATCAGTGAGAACTGATATACCGTCAAACTGCACTAGGACTGTTGCATGACCAATCCAGGTCATCTGGATCCCCGAAACTGGAGGATTGCACAATTTACCAAAATCTGGTCTCTCCACCGGAAGTTGTTCATCCAAAACCTGAAAAGAATCGTTTACAATTCTAGGTATATTTATAGTTTATTTTTGTGAGTTTTTCCAAAGTAAAACACATTATTTTTTAAAGTATTTCACTTAAAAAAATTTAACGTATCAATTCTATATGCTTCATTTTTATTATAAAAACGCGTTACTGGTTACGAAATATATTTCTTATTTACCACACTATCAATGATTATCCTGCTTCAAAAAGGGAAGTCGCCCGCGTGGCGCAGTGGTTAGAGCGTTTAATTGCTCTAGAGTCGCGAAGTAAGGAGTTGATCCTTACGTCATGGGTTCGAATCCCACTACGGGACGTGGAGAATGGTCCTTCGAATAAGACCGTATAAACCGAGGTCTGATGTCGCAGTAGGTGCTGGCACGAAAAAGATCCCTCACTTCTCAATGGCCCTGAGTCTAGAGTATAGGTCTAAAATTTGCAGCCCTCCACCGGCAAGTGGCGGCGTCTCAATATGAGTGAAAAATTCTCGAAAGGGACGTTAAACAAACAAACAATCAAAAAGGGAAGCCTTTACAGTAAATTAAAGCATCGGAATATAAAAGAAATCAAACTGATTGACGAATAGAAAGTCTGACTTACTTCAAGTTTATTTCAACAATTTGGCAAGTGAAACTTTGAAATATTAAAAAATAATTTTGATATTATTTATCCTCTAAATAATGACAAGCTTTTAAAAGTGGAAGCTTTTCAACTATGAGCCAGTCTTTAAGTTTTTCATTCTTTTTATCATAAAAGTTTCCTTGTTTGTGGTTTTAGCTAAAAATATATGTACTAAATATTACACTGTATGTCCATTGACCATAAATACACATGATACTTTTGCTTCATGCCTACATGTTCTTGTAATTTTATATCCTCAAGTGGCCATGGAAGATATTGGTTTTTTGTCTCATGTAATCATAAAAAAATCTTTTTTGGGTTTATTTACAAGAACTGCACAAAAGGGAGGATTCGTTTTCAGAAATCCTTACATTTTGTACTTTGATGATGCGTATGTAGATTATTGTAATTCGTGAAAATAAGCTAAATCAGGAAGGTTAATTTTGCAGATACACTCAGTCAACAAGACACAGAAATAATCCATCTTCTTGTATAAAACATAAGTTTTAGCCGTACCTGTACCTACTCTCAAATCGACATCTGACAGGTTTCTGTACTTGTTTCCAATTTTCTTTTCTTTAATTATTTTGTATCTTGTATGTGTAGAGACATTTTATGTGCCTCTGCTTGGGATTGAACCCGGGGCCTCTGGCTTGCCAGTCCAGTGCTCTACCAATTGAGCTAAAGGGTTAACCCACTAGCCCAAGCTAGTAGGAAGCCATGTATCTGACACTACCACATTGTCCCCCTCCAGAGAATGAGATGTCCTCATCTCTTTTGGGTGCCGACGCCTGTGGGGCGAAGTTCTGGGGGCAATCACTTTTACCCACCACAGAACACCCGGGCCCCACGTTGGATGCCAAATGTAACAGAGACATTTTATGTGCCTCTGCTGGGGATTGAACCTGGGGCCTCTGGCTTGCCAGTCCAGTGCTCTAGCAACTGAGCTAAAGGGTTAACCCACTAGCCCAAGCTAGTAGGAAGCCGTGTATCTGAGAGTATGTGGTAAAGTGTAAATATTTGAAAAGTGTATATATTTTTAGTATTTTAGGATTTTGTGTTTATTTGATATGTTTAGTAATATTATCTACAAAACAATTTTGATATTATTATTTACAGGAAATTTATTTAATTTAACTTATTTATATTTCAGCAGTTTATTATTTATTTAAGCTATATTATACTTTAGAAGATATAATTATTTAGGAATTTCTATAGTATAAATAAATATAAGTTTCCCTTATAGTAATTAACTTTGAGAGGTCAGTGACCTATGAAGTGACCCATCAGTGAGTCTAAAGTTGAAAAACTATTTTTATAAATTACTTGTATAACTGTAATGTGATTAATAGTAAAATTAGGAATTTTATCTTTTGTTTCATATAATTGAAATAATTCTTTCAATTTAAAAGCATGGGTATTTTTCATTAAATAAAGCAGTTATTATTAGTAAAGATTTTTATAGCAGCTAAGGGAGATTACACATTGTTATGCATTCCTTATAGGACTGTCACAGCTACAGGTATAATGTACATCCAGACCTTTTGATCATATTAAAGGTAATTTATGTGTTTTATGTTTATGTGTTGTTCCATTATATGTATGTGTTGACAGAACTTTTTTTTTTAATGTTTGTCATGCATGTCTATATTTTATGTTGAATTGAATTTCATGTGTATCATGTCCAATGCATGAAAGTGTATTTGTGTTAATGTTCAATATGAAATCACATAAGATTATTTGATTCAGAATTATTTAATATCAGATAATGTTTTTGATAATTATTATGATTTTTTATTTTAAAGGACTAAACTAATAAAAGAAATATTTTTATGATAAATTGATCTGTGATAAAGAAGTGGTAATTATTTTTAAGTCAATTTAATTTAAAGAGAATATGAATCATAAAGTATGAGACTTATTATAATGATGATATACTATAATGGAGTTAAATGTGTATTTTTAGCTTGTCTAATAATTGTTATTGTTATTACAGGGTCTACTATACTATTACTATACTCTACCATATTATACTGTTACAATTATTTAATAAAATACAACAATGAAGCAAGCATCAACTTCATTTTTATTCAACGAACCCTATTACATATGCAACGTACGTATGTCCTTCGATCACCCTCTAAGTACGTTTTTATTAACCACTTACTAGCAACAACAAATAAAATTATATTGCATTTTAATAATCATTTTGTTTACCTTTTTACTTGGAAGGTTTCCAGAAGTTACAAGCAGTTTCCAAAGAAAACCAAGTGTCCTTTTACTTGCAATACTCGGCAATTCTTGATGGTTCCAGGGATTCTTGTATTCTCCATTTTCATATATGGGTCTGGTCAGAATTAAGTCCTCGTTGTTAGAATCCATTTGTTACTTCTCACATAATTTCCTAAAAAATAAAAAAATCCTGAGTATGTCTGCACTACACATGCAATTGCCAATAAAAATTAAGCTTCTCATAAAAAAGTTTTCCAAATAATCTTATACAAAATGAATAATTTAGCAAAAAGTTCTTTAAATTTAAGATACAATATCAAATCTGAGCAAATCTGAGAATTGATCCGGATATTTAGTTCTTGTTCAACCTAATGCAACTGATCATTCCTATGGCGGATATATAATCTTGCAGTATAAAAAGAAATAATCATGTTAAATGCATGACCAATTTCTTAAAATTTTGTCTACTACATTGCAAAAATATAGTTTCCTGTTTAGACTGCTTTATACATGTAGTAGGCTGGTAGTAAGTTGCAACATGAGATAAAAGTATGACATGTGTAACCCTGATGCCATCACTAGATTACAATTGCTTATGGAAATCTGTATTTTTAACATTTTGTGGAAATTTTAATAATCTAACCTGGGTATAACTTTTATGATTATTTATTAGAATTTATGTAAATTTCTTAGAAATCGGTAAATGTATTATTATTTTTTTAAAGAAGTGATTATTATTGGACGTTTTTAGACTGTTATATGAATTAAGATACATGTACAAGATCTGTCAGTATTCTGAAAATAAACAAGTTAAAATCGATAAAAAATGTTATTCAGGTGTAAACAGAACCTATCAGTTCTAGGGATTGACAAATGTATGTTTCACTGTTTATTCTCGGGAGATATACAAAGACGGCGCTTTCCCTTCGTGATTTGGTAACGGGACGTTTCGCCCCTATTGACGTTTCGCGCCGAGACCACTCGCCCCAAAAGACGTTTCGCGCCGAGACGTTTCGCGCCCAGTTTAATCTACATTGTCTACAACGATATATTACGATGTTTTAAGATAAATATTTATATATAAGGTTAATATTGACTGTGTTAAAAAAAGTTCTAAGGTTACTAAAAAACTTTTATGTTTTAAAAGTTGTTGAAAATAGGCTTATACCATAATTAAATGTATAATTATCCATGTGCAGATATAATTATGTTTATTCAGCAATCATAATTGTCTGATTCAGTTTTGTAATTAGGGTGTTATAACTATAATTTGGAGATTCTTCATCATGTCAAGATAAAGAGGAGAATTAAATTATGAGACGGGTGTCAAGTTCATTTTACCGTTGCTCAATAGCTAGGATGCACACTGACTCCAATTTTCTTTGCGATTTTGAGTAATGCTATATAAGCATGATAAGTGATTTGACTTCAATAAATTTTTATCCCCAATTAGCTCTCGTATATATACAAGTGTTGTACAGTACATAAAGTATTTTTTATAATTAGTTTGACTGATTTTCTTCAGAACATTTGACAATCAAGACAAGCTTTTGCTGACCCATTTATGATTGAGAACAGTCAACTAGCGCCAAATGTTGGATTCATTAGACAAGAAAAAGAAATAAAACTAAACAATAGCCTATATTTGATCTCGAGCAAATCTTGTGTGTTGACACATTCAAATTATATTAAACATGTTAAAGTCACGCTTATTTAAAGTCAATAAAAAAAGTAGTTTTATGTTGTAGAGAAAGAATGTTATATATAGGTAAGTTAATTACAGGGTACTTACAATTACTTTCGTTTCAAAAACTTTTACCTACAGTTGTATATGAACGCCAAAGGCAAAGGAACATGTTTGGGGCATACCAATATACGATAACTCGGTCTCGTCGTAATGCGATGAAAAATGGGTTCAAGTGTTCAATATGTTAATAGTAATCAAATTGCTATGAAATATGAGGATATTGTTAATATTTTAAAATATTTTTGACGTGTGAATACAAAAAAAAAGAAATAAGAGTTGCAGTGATGATTTTATATTAAATGAAATATTTATAGATTGTAGTGAGACCTTTTACAGGTCTAGGCGGCCTCTGTTTTTGGAGGATAGATTTTATCCTCTGAAAACAGAGGATAGCGGTCTTGCCACCTACCGGAGTTACCCCCCTTTTGCTGTTCACGAGGAGATGAAAATTTTAACCAACGAACTATATAATCCTTGATTTTCAAGAAAGTCAGGTTAGCCTATGTGTCAAATTTTAGAGACTTATACTTTTAACCATTAAACACACAAATAAAGCAATTTTGTAGAGGTACATGTCGACAAAAACAATTTTGAAGAACATAAACTAAAAAACTATGGCTCATCTTAGCCTTGAAAAATGCGTGTTTTTCAATTTAATTATTCTTTTTTATTGGAAAAACTTATCACTTAATTTTGGAAAAATACTTTCTGTTTGTAGGTTGTAACCAATACAATCTTGATAACATAATTGTATTTTTTTTAAATGCAAATGCGCACATAATCAAGGATAGGATATGGTATTCATAAAGAAACCACAATCAAAGCCCTAAATCCAATTTTCCTTTTTCAAAATTACATCGGGATCGTATCGCTGTCATATCATTTGGACGCCCCATAATTAACGTCAAATTTGACGTCAAGTTAATCGTTTATTTGAAATCGCAAGAGTTATCTCCCCAACTGTTTTGTACGTCTTTGAACCAGCGGTACAGAAATTTCAATTGCTAATGAATGCCGTCTGTTCATGTGTATGATGTTAGGAACAAACAAGGGCATTTTCAGTTAAAAAAAATCGTATAACAATTTAAAGCGCAGGAATCTCAGATTAATTTAGCGAACATATTTAAGAAGTTTAGCGTGATGCACTATTGATGACCTAATAAAAAAAGGACTAGTTTTCAAGTTTCACGGCCATGCAGAAGAGTCAGCAGGATATTGGATCAAAGACTGAAAGAGTTATATTGTACATCATGCACTTCACTATGTTCATTTAAACATATTAAATGACATCGAGATATATAATATAATATTAAGCATTGAATTCTTATTTTTGGATGTCGTGGGTCCTATAACACACCTGGCCGTGCCGACAAATTGAATACCGTGTGTTAGCGTTGAATGATAATTTGTCGGCACGGCCAGGCCTTAAGACCATAAACTGAGAACAGACTTAAGTCAAAATTTTGATTATGAATTTCTTGGGTTTTCTTTGACAAATGTGTTTTAAAAATTGCAGGACTGTATAATGTTCAAATATAAACAAGTGATGAAAATTTTGTTAGATTATGAAAATCATTTCAAAAATTATATCAATTTGAAATTTTGACTTAAGTCTGTTCTCAGTTTATGGTCTTTGGGCCAGGTGTGTTATAAGACCAACGACATCCAAAAATAAGAATTCAATGCTTATTTTTACATTCTCTATTATTCTCTCTTCATAATTGTTTATTTCGTTAATCTTTATTAGGAATTTAGCGCCTTTCAGAACTGGTGTGCTTAATAGACGTAAGAGCGGTTTATGACGTTGTAAAGTTAAATACTGTGTATTCTACCTCCCGATGACAAGGTTTCGCGTGCTAGAGATTTGAACGTCGTTGATTTCTAAGGGATTTTATAAAGAAAATTAGACTGAATGTAAATATTTTAGATTAAATGGTTGAAGGAGGACCTGCGAATACCTTCTGTGAATGAAGGTATATTTTTATTAGTATCTCGTTTTTTAATAGATCTAAAAAGAGATCCAGATTATGCATGACTTTTAAAAATAATCCTAGGGTGTATGTTCTGTGGAAATTTCATTCATTCATTTCATCTTGTTTTTTTTTCCATTCATTTCATTATAAGAAAATGAACACATGATTTCAGAGTACGGATCATTATAATTGGAAAAGAATGAAAAAGTACCTCAGTTCTCACTTACCATCCATCATAGTAAAGATCAGTCTATACTACCTCATGAATGTTCAAGAAAGTTGGATGGATCAAGCAAAGGTACATGTATGGATTCAGATATGCCATATCGGATTTTGAGGAGACTGGTTACCCAATAAATCTTATCCTTGGAAACAATGATTCCACAATAGCATCCTATATAGTTAGAAAACAATAGGAGTCTAAGATGATTGTAGTGACTTTGCTTCTCATCTTTGAACTTTTATTCAGTAAAATAAATGAATGCATCAAAGTCATTAATTGAAAGATTGATTGTATATTGTTTTACGTCCCATTCGAGAAATCTACTCATACAGAGACGTCATCATATACCGGTGAAGGGCTTCAAATTTAGACCTTTACTCGGCACTCAGGGCCATTGAGCAGTGAGGGATCTTTATCGTGCCAACGCCTGCCGTGACGCGGTCTCATCCGAATGACCCGCAACTTTCACTCGAAAGTGCCGAGCGCTTGGCGAAGGAACAGTTGCTACCTATTTTTAATCGACTTAGGTCAGTCGGGCCTAACTCACGATCTTACGATCACAGAAGGAGTGCTCTACCGACTGAGCTACTGTGACGGTAGTTATTAATTGAAGGTGGGTTTTTCTAGTTAACAAGTTTCCATGAAGCATTAAAAATGTTTTGTAATATTTCAAGTAAATTAATATTAAGATTAACTAAGCAATGATAGTTTCATTCATTTATGCTCACCTGGGCTAGATGCTCAAATGAAAATTTCTAAGAAATGATGAAAGTGTCCCACATTAAGTTATATCGCTACAGTGTAAAACATGACATTTTTGAAGTAATTGTTTACTTTGTCGGAATAAGACCATTTAAATACAAAAACAACTCTAATAATTAAACAAAATCAGTTATATCAATATTGTATCTTTTTTCTGTAAGTATACATTTGTACTTAGCTTACAGTATATATTTACAAGTATGTGTGAATTAGATTCTTCTCAATTTCAATTTTTTTTTCGTTATCAGTGTATTGTGCATTTGTTCCCATTTATAACATTTTTATTTTCACTTTTTGATTTATAAAGAAGAAAATTTACTTGATTCATGTAATTGTATGGATTTTTTTTTATAATTGTTGTCACAAGCTTAAGCTAACTGGATGAAATGCTTACAACATTGAACTCAAAGGATTGTGTGTAAAGGCAAGTCATAGTCTTAGCTGATTATAGACATTTGGTATGAAGGTGTCTAGAAATTCATAAATTTGGAATGACTATATCAACATGAAGTCAAAGGGCTTTTATTGGACACGTATTTTCCAACAGCAGCATATTAAGAAACCATCTTGAACAAATACATGTGCATGTATACACCTCTAAAGCAAGTTTATACAGTTACTTCTAAAAGGTGTTGGGATATAATTCCATTGACCATTTCATCAAACGTAAAGGTGTCATTAATAGGACATGTACACCAAGACCTTCCATGGACTGAACTTATTCAGTAGCACAGGAGTGTTATTTTGAATATTTATGGTCATTTTTCTGTCTAAAAACAAATTAATATAATATAAATTTCAGATTGACAAGTACACTCTGTAAAAATTGTATCAATGTTTACTTTGAACATGCAGAAAAAAACTGATTTTATGTACATGCACAACCCATATAGGCTTTGTTTCCATGGAAACAGTGTTGGGGACATACATTTTATTTTTAAGACGGTGTTATGGAAATATCCGAGGTAATAATTTCATGGATTTGGGTGGAATCAGTGGACATGGAAAATGATTATTTTTACTTGTTTGTTGCCATAGCAACGGGTTTCACTTTATCAAGGACAATTTTAAAAAAATTGTTTTCCCCTAAACTTCCACATTTGAATGACAGAAATATAAAAGTAAAGATAAAATGAGCATAAAATACAATAATTCATGCCATTTTATTTATTTAAATATGGTAGTTTATAAAATAAATCAATTTCTCCTTGAAATTAATGCAAAGATGTAAAACATCCAATACCTTAAATTTGACATCTTTTATTTAAAAAGAACGGGACAGACAATATCTTTTAAAATCATAATAAAAGAGGAAGCTATTCTTTCCAAACAAATTGATGTATACATGTACATGTGTACAAATTTTAAAAGACAAAAATTGAAGGAGACCACAAACCTTACCATAAACATTTACATGTTTACGTTGAAAGTAGATATTGTGCGATTTCGAGTATTGAGTATTTCCATTTAAAATTATCTGCTGCCACCCTTACTGGAAGACGAACAAGTAAACAAGGTAATCAAGTTTCAAGAACTGTATGTTTATAATCAATTTAAATGTATAAATGAGTACTAGTAAATGGAAGAATATGACGACCATAAACATAGAATCTTGCACATTATGATACATGTCTGGGGACATGCAGGTACTGAGTAATACTCTTGATTTAGGAGAAAACGTGTGTTTATTGCCATTCTTTGTATCTTTAGAAAATGAAATAAATATATCTCTGCAATCTAATTGAAACCAGATCTTAGATCCTCACTGAATACATTCGGCGCGAATCTAGGAAGATCTGATATTGATTAGATTGAATACTTCTGAAACTAATAGGGAAAAGTAAAAAAAAAAATGTCTATAGTATTTCAAACGATTCTGTAAAAATGTATCATTTATTGCGATATATTTAATAAAATTCAATAGAATTCTTGAAAAATTTGAACTACAAAATTCAAACGATCTTCTGTATGGAAACTAAACATGTTGTCTAATCTAACTACTACTGAGTATTTACGAATGTACATTACATGTAATCTTGAAGTCGTTATTTTGACATTGAGTATTTCCTGCCCATCACTGCACCTCACTGCACATAAAATGCTTCAATTTTACCATGATGACGAAATGTCGACATTCC